ATTGCTTTTTTTTACAGTCGGCGGCACATGGTGGCGAGCCTTGCTTTCGGTTCATGGCATATGCTTTGGCCCACAAGGGCAAGGCGACGGCCGATGTCGCCTACAACCTGGAGGACCTGCCCTCGGCGTACAGTAACGAGTCCGTCCACAGCCGCCTCGATGGATACACATCGATGGCAAGGGCGGTCCATGGCCTAGAGTACAATCTGAGCGCCCATGACCTTGATGGAGAAGTGGTCATGAGGGCGGGAGGAGGCAAGAAGCATGGCTGGTTCTGGATTGGCGATGGCACAATCGACACGGCTAGTACTCTCACTCTCTCCCAGATTCGAGCAGGGAGCACGAGTTCCAGCCCAGTGATACGCCCACGGCCATCCTCTACATGGTTCTAGAGGAACGCACTCCAGGTTATTTCTGTTTTATTCATCATTCATTGATTTTTACATATTTTTACATTACATTGTAACATTGGGATGAAATATTGTAGGCTCAGTTGGAACAAGAAACGAGGCACCAGGAGGAGCTAGAGGCGAGGATGGAGGCAGAGCGGCAGAGGATGGAGGCAGAGCTGCGGCAGAGGATGGATGCTGAGCGAGCCTAGATGTTTGAATATATGAGGGGTGTTTATGCTGCAATCGGTCAAGCTTCGCCACCGATGCCAGTCCGTCCTCCTCAACCTACTCCAAATACTATTTCTAGCACTGTAAGTCACTTCACAACCTTATAATCACCGTTTCTAGTTTATGCAGAATCAATCTTTTCTCCTTTGTGATGTGCGTATGTTTCTAGTTTATTTGTAGTTTGTAGTTAACCTTGTAATCACTGTTTCATTCTCAATCACTGTAACTTAGCTACTTTTAGTTTCCGCAGAATTAATCACTTTTTCTAGTTGCTAGTTTATTTCTAATACTTGTATGTTTCGTTCTCAATCAATGTGAATGATTTATCTCTTTCCTTTGTGCAGAATCAATCTGCGGCATCAAATGAGCCTTATGACCGACAGTGGTCACAGTGGTCACCGTGGTCATAGTGACTACGTTTATTTGCATTTCTGATGAGCCTAGAGAGAGACTGTGAAATATGTACTTGTGATTCTGAAGTTTATTTGCATTTGTGATTGTGAAGTTCACTTGCATTTGTAATGTGGTCGATATATCTATATGAACTGCATGTGATGCCTATTGTGAACTATCTGTGATGGATGTGATGTTTATTTGAATGTGATACGTGGCTGTAACCGAACCAAATAAACTGGTTATATGTGACAGCTTTGCCGAGTGTCATGGAAAATACACTCGGCAAAGCGGACATGTGGCCAAAATCTGTATATTTTGGGACTAAAATGGCCATCTTTGCCGAGTGTCTGCGCTGTAACACTCGGCAAAGAAGCCAAAATCTGTACATTCTAGGGCCTGTCTTTGCCGAGTGTTCGGGATGTGACACTCGGCAAAGCAGCCATGTTTGCCGAGTGTCCAGGCCCTAACACTCGGCAAACATGGCCTCTTTGCCGAGTGCCAATGCCGTTATACACTCGGCAAACGTGCCGTGACCGTCTCCGCGCCATCACATTGCTTTTTTTGTCGAGCGTCGATTTCAGCACTCGGCAAAGTCTTTGCCGAATGCCTGATAAAAAACACTCGGCAAATAAACTTTTGCCGTCACTGTGTATACCGTGTGCTGTTTGCCGAGTGTTTTTTGGGCTTCGCCATGTGCCTTGATCACACGACAAAGCTCCTGCTTCCGGTAGTGATCGTTACGAGTTTCCAACGACTAGAAATTTCATTTTCAATGATTGTGGGTTAAGCGAAAGGGCCTATAGCCTAGTGGTTATAGGAGCCTCAGTAGCATCTCAGGTCCTGAGTTCGACCCCCCATGGGAGCGAATTTTCTAGGATTTAACGGCGTTGTGCTTTCAGTGGTAGGCGACGTTCCCCGTCGACAGCGAGGCGTCAGTGGTGACTTTGTCAATCTCGAGGATTTGCCGGCCCAGTCTTCAAAGATGCTAGGGTATGATTTACGTTCATAGGAGTGAGTGTGCATGCGTTGTGGGTGTCTGCATTGTACCGTGTAATTCGTAAAAAATAACTGTAGGTTAATTTTTTTAATCCACTGTTACGTCTACTTTGTGTACGTTATGCAGGTGGCATGAGGCTTGCGGCAGCGATGGCATGAAACGGACCGGATTCATTTCCTGTAAAGTGGGCCTGGGCCTCCACGGCGTAAGGCTCACTACGCGATTGTGCCGGCTTGGGCCTGCAGGACAGTCGCGTCACCTTAGAGTAGGCCTTACCGTTGTGTTGTTCCATGCTCTGCGTGTTCTCGGATTCGTGATACTTTTCCTTCAGCCGGTGATCTAATGAATGGCACTGGCAATGTCTACGTACTGCAGATGATGTGGATGTACTTTTCTCGTCTTTTATTGATGGAATACTTTTCTCGTCTTTTATATATGGAACAAAGTGCTCCATCCATGCAGAGCTAAAGAAATATTCAATCCGACAAAAGTTCCAGTTGGAAAAAAAGTAGTCAAATCCGAAAGATGAATAATTTCTAGAACAAGCACGGAAAGCTCAAAAGATGAAAACAATGACTACTACGGAAAGGTTTTTTAGAGACAGTTGTTGTGCTTGCCACTACTTGTGTGTCTCTAGATATTAATGAATAATTTCTAGATACGGCTATCAAACTGCTTATGGGAATCCATTCTAGAGGCGGGACGAGACCCGAGCACCCCTAAAGATCGATTTCTCGAGGTATGCCAGAATGGAGCCGCCGATAGAAAATGTTCTACAAAATTTACAAATCAAGAAAAAATAGATTTTTTAAACAAGTCCCTTGGTTAGAATTTGCAAATTAGGCAAAATAAAAAGCAAACTTTTTTTAACCAACCCCATGTATTTTTGAAAATCAGAAGTACACGTTTTTGCGTAAAATTCATGCACATGCAGCCCCCACGTTGTTCGAACTCACAGTCTTAGGCTATGTATGTTGCTTCCTGACTATACTCCACCTCAAAGTTACATATGACCAAGTGACTAATACAATCCTTTGTATTAAATTTGATGAATATTATAATGAATCAAAACAAAACAAAAGTATGAACGAAAACTTTTAATTCTCATCAAATACCGCAACTTTGGTTTAGGTCATTTCTCCATCCTACGTCGTTTGGAAAGTTCAAGAAAAAAATTAATTTCAAAACCTAATAAAATTAAGTAGAATTTTTGGTCCTTAAATGATTTTAAATGAAAAAGTCGTCAACTACTAAGTCGCTGATCTCTTCGAGATTGATCTATAACCTTGGTATAAAGTTTGTCTTTATCTAACTTGATTTGGAAAGTTAGAAGTTTTACTGTATTGCACCTATTTCTAGAAGCACACCAAACTGTCTCTAGAAATCGATTTCTAGAGATGGGTGAAATTTCTAGCTGCTCCTAGGAATGCCTTTATTTCTATAGTAGTTGGAAAGTTTAGCTGCCTCTAGAGCTAGCAATTTAGAGGCACTTGGTCTTTGCAGCTGTATTTAAAAGTAGTGGGCTGCCATGTCCTCATCATCACTACTACCAAAACTTTTTTGAGAGACGTGGGAAACATGGTTTCAGAGGTGGGCAGGATGTCTGCCTCTGATACGTAGTCACTGTTAACTAGAGATTTTCACATGGTCATGCTAACAGGAGATGTTCATAGTCGACAACAAATGTCTATTTCTGGAAATAAACTACAGAAAACTAAAAAAGCCTGCTAGCGAGCCCGTGGATCCCGCCAAGCTTTTTGAGCAGCTGCCGCTGTAGCTCCATGATGCGTCGTCATAGCCCCCGCTGACACCGCACCAGTCAGATCCAGATTCTAGACTTTGGCCAATTCAGCCAGATCTGTCTCCCGCTGCCTCCCGGGTGACATGCATCATGTAGAGAAAGACGATGGGGGACTTCGCGCTCGGCCCGGAATGCACAGCCTCCGCACTCAGCCATCGATGCTGCCTCCGTAACAGGAAAGGTTGAGCACCTCCGGCTCCTCCTGCTCGAGTTGCTTCCTAGCTACTCTATCTACTCCAATCATCTATTGTGGGAAAGTAGAAGGAGGAATCGATGGAGCAAGAAGGGGTGGGAGAGAAGGGGGCGACGCTGAGGGAGGGAGAAAGGGACGAGAGGTATGCGACAGATGTAGGTTCATGGTAAGATAGGAAAGGAGAAGGACCCTCCTGCTACTGGGGTTTGGTCTTATTATATACCACAAAGATAGTAGTGGACCAAAATTGGCTAGCCTCTATTAACAGAGGTGGGCCTCTTAAGAGGTCCACCTCTGAACATGGCCTCTATTTTTAGAGAAGGGACTCTTAGGAGGCCCATCTTTGTTAATTGATTTACAGAGGCATAGGTGTCTCCAAAAATGGTGCATCTGTCTTTGAAAATCATTGAGCACATTGGGCGACACACATATGTTGTGACCGTCTCTGTAAATAAAATGGCCTATCTCCTAAAATCAATTTTATGCTAGTGTTTCCAACTGCCTGTAAAAATCGAGTTTGACACAGGCGAGCTCTGAAATCACTTTTCGACACGCTTCTTGATAGATCTGTCGTTGGTCTAAAATGGAGGCACCTCTAATAATCTTTTGTGTAGTAGTGAATCACATTTATTTATCTAGTAAAAATGTTCATGCATATGTCGATCTCTGCTTACCACGGTTGGGCACTTATCAACAGTCCAAGTACATTTGTATTTTAGGTACAGATGATGACACCTACTTATTTGATATTGCTAGACACATGCTCTTAAGTTATATATACTTCAAACTTCTATTCCTTGTTTATACCTACAATGTTGACAAATATGTAGCAATTTACCCTTGCAATGCGACAAGTGGGAATGCATACTAGTACACCCAATGATATAGATCCTAATAATACTTATTCGGCGTCGAGTAGTGCATAATGCATTTCTTATGGGGAATTGTTCTTGTGTCAATGAGACGTTTGGGCTGCAACAAGTACAATTTTTGCTATTGGCAGTTAGGGTTCTTCCCAGGTCCTCCATAGAAGATGTAAGTGCCCCAATCAGCACTAGTACCATTCTGCACGTTGTAGCAATTGGGCCACTTAGCTAACAAGTTCACATGACTAGGAGATTTGAGATTGTTGGTCGAATCAACCAATTGAATGTTCTTGACGTAGCTGGCCTTGCTGAACCCTTCCTTAGGAAAGTGTCCACTACCCATCTGTGTGGATGTTTGGCCTGCATCCGGTGACGATGCCACCTCGCCTCCCCACTCGACAGAGGCGGCACTACCTACCAACTTTGAGAAAATCGAAGTTGGCCAGTAGCCCAGATCATGGCCTCCCACTTGCAACCACCAATTGCCCTCCTTTGGGTCCTGAAATTCAAAATTTATTGGAGATTTCAGTAGACAATATCATGATTAGGGAATATTGTTGTAGATTCCCTATCTGAGTAAAAGCTTGTGTACGTGTTCCTTATTTTCACTAAGGAATATATGGTTTATATACTTCCCTTCCACTGTAGCGGAAGTGCCATTATTGTTGTCCATTTTTTCCCAAACTTGAGAACTTTAGAACATACCATTGGGAGTGTAGGAATTTGGCATGCATTATTTGTGACATGACGTGTGCATAGCAGATTAAGAACTACCATTGGGAGTGTAGGAATTTGGCATGCATTATTTGATACATGACGTGTGCATAGTTGACTAAGAATAAGTACTAGATGAAAACTAATGCATAAATTAAAAAATGCCATGCCATGCCATATCTAATCAGGCATGTTAATAGTTGATAGTTTTTCAATCAGTACTATAGCTCCTAAGTCTTATCTCTGCTAAGTTCTAATTTAGCAGGCAGACGTTCCATAGAAGTTCACAATAGGTAATTGATATTAACTAGCCAATGTATTAATTAAATGTTTGGATCACTCTATCTCCCTTAGAAATCATTGGCAGTAGAGGAAATCCCTTAAAAGAGCATTAATTGAACAGTCTAAGTGCTACTTCAATAGTGTGGCCTAAAGTCTGAAAGTACGTTGATTATGAACAAAAAGCAGATGTCATCGATTGTGAAAGCTTTTGGTGTTTACCTTCCAAACTAAAATAGTGATGTCATATTGTGAGCCACCATAGGTGGAGACAGGGGACAGATAGGAGTTGCTACCACCAATCGCAATCTCGTTGCTTGTCTGTATAAATCCTGGGCATAGTAGATTGTAACATCCTGTATTGTTGTATGCATCCCGCTACAATATTCCACATTAATAAAAAAATATTATTTAATTATTATGCAATTTCTGACCTTACAAAAGTGGGACCAATACAAAAAATGATGATAAAAAGCACCATAATGTTTGTCTTACAGTCCAGTAGATGAAGAGTCTTGTGTGGCTATCCTTATACAGACCAGGGTAAACCTACAATTTGTAGAAAGCATATGTACATTAGCAATAACGAAAGATATTTCACAGCTATCTACACCTTTAGAGATACTTATGGCTTACATAATGGTACGATGTTATCATCTACCAACTCTGTCTATTCTCTTGAACTTTTAAATACCTAAATTAGAATACAATTTATTTTGTTGTAAGAATTGTCAGGTAATAGTAATAGTGAATGAAGGAATTGTAAGCTAGCTAGGCCATCTAAGGCTGTTTTTTGTTAGGTGACAAAAGAGGACAGAGAAATTTGAGGTTCTCATTTGGTGAAGTAAACAAAACTGGCAAGATGATCTTAGTATTGTAGACGGCATGATCTGTCTTTTTTCCATTGAGATTATTCAGATACAATGTGAAGTTTCGCCAACAAAACCACCAATATGTGAAATGCCCATAGAACCCTATTTTCGATTGTGTCAGTAGGGTCTTATTTCTGTTCTCGCTGTAGTTGCTACTTGCTTGTTGTTGACGGTCGATAACGCCAACTTTTAACCATCATTATGACATACTTTTACCCCTAAAACCAATCACCAACATAGATATAATATTTCAAACAAAGTATTTTGGAGTGGATTTCATGGTTGCAAGAGGATTTAATAAGAAAATAGACCAAATGGGCCACTTTATGACAAGCAAATCAGGTCAAATCGCCACGAAATTGACTCCACTGGGCCACAAACCATCATCCACGACAAATGGGATGCAGCCACGCAGGATGGGGCCAAGAGGGGGGTCGGCCGACCCACCTGGTAGCTCTATGTTGCTCCACTACCTTTGAGGATCAACCTCCGCCATTTATCAAGGTCGGTTTGATTGGAATGGCGAGATTTTACGTTGCCATGGATTCATGGGCCCACGAGGAGCCAGGAGCCCCATATAAAAGGACCCCATGACCCCACTCTAGGAGGCATGATCCATTCAGAGCAGAACAACCACACTCAGAGAGAAGAGCTCCTAGATATCTAGAGTCTTAGCATAACCACTCTAAGTTAGATCTAGAACAGTCAGAGTGACTGCTTGGATTCCGGATCTAGTCACCGGAAGCTTGGTGTAGCTCTTGTATCCTTTGTTATTCATCTATCAATACTTTGATCATCTACAAATGACTTTGATCTTCATTCATATCATGTTCTTAGTGATCATGTTCTTAGTTTACTTTGAGTATTTGCTTGGTATAGTTAGATTCCTTTTATATCTCTTTATATGATCATAGAGCGCTTGACCCAGTGTTCGAATAGGTTAAGTAGCCAAACCATGTGTAAGCATGGTGCTTATACATTATTTTGCCGGTGGTGGCACCATCCATTCTGGGAAGTGTGGTAGATCACATGGGTGACAGCCATGTTGATTATCTGTAATCCCCCCCTCCCGTCTGTAGGACTAGTAGGATATTTATCACTATGGATGAAGTCATTACTATGCTTCTTCCTTAGATGATGTCCCATATGCATATGTATAGATTTAATCTTTTGCTATTGCTAAGTACAAACACATTCATGGCATGCTTTGACTTGAAACTAGAATAACTTAGGAATTTATATCTCTTGCATTCTACTTAGACTAGCTATTGCTATTCATTGGAGTCTCTCTGATTGTTAACCTTATCATATATATCTTTATCATTTGGTTATTATCTCTATCATTTGGTTTACCCCTGCTTAGAATAAGTGTTTAGTTTCTTAATTCATCATAAGTATAAGTTATCAATCTCTTTAATGTCACCGCTCCTCCTTGTGGTAAAATATAAATAACGATACCTAGAATACTCCCAGTGAAATGCTACAATGGTTTATCTGTGCGCATGCAGAATTTTCCTATTTTCTAATTCACACTTATAAATACCAACACTTGTCTCTTATTTTGCACTGCTTATCATGGCTCATCGAATTGGTTGTTGCTTGCTTGTTCAGCTGAGTTCGTTTAGACATACCATATAATATCTTATGTAACAGGACTCACCTGCCATCCTGCTTCTATAGTATTGAGGTCGTTGTTTGGGTAGGACCCACTACTAATCCAGAACTGGGCCAAGCTGAATCCTTCGTCCCTCTCAACAATTGGTTCCCACAAATTGAAGGTTGCTTGGGTACCATAGTAGTTGCCATCCTCCGGTGCAGATGCTATGGCATGCTGCTCAGTGGGAGAGAAAATAATAAAATTAATAGAAATAATAACAAAAGCCCAGAAGGAAGATTAGAACTACTATGAATGTGATTCTAGGAGGAGATTTTGTACCTGGTGGCCTCTTAATACATTCACCGTGTCAGGGTCAACCAAGGAAAAACGGTTTGGGATGCTCCAAGGCCACTTCTTGCCATATCTCTCAATGGAGCTCACCCTGAGGACATCCTCTTCTTTTGTCCTTCGGATTGGTATGGTGTTCTCTGGGCACTTGCCATTTTGATGCCATGTTTGGGTGAAAGGATTGGGTGCAATGTTTGACTTATTATAGGGGCCTTCCGGGTGGCAAGAGGGCATCATCTGAAGGGTGACCATAGAGCACCATTTGAGTCATATCACGATAAGGTAGGCTAGCTTAACATGCACAACACTTAAACCAAAAGGTTAACGGTGCTATAAAGAGAGGAACCTGGATAGTATGGTTCTCGAGGAGAGGATGATCGAATGCAGGCTGTTTGGAGATGTGCACACAGTCTATGATATCTCCATCTGGGCTCTGTTAATTTCTCAACAATTTTGCAGAATCAGTTTTTGCAACAAGGCAGACAAAGAGAAAACTTCTTTTATCTTAGTATTTGATCAACAAAACTAAAGAAGCCTCCACCACGTTAATTCTCGAGCCTTAAAATTACCACATAAATTGAAGAAAATAAATCAAATTGCCCTTATGCCTGTTTGTGTATTTTCCTCTAAAGGCATTATAAAATTAAAGTATAATAAAGGTAATTAACTTTGTTCTGCCTTATATACAATTAAGAAAACAGAGTTAGTTTGAAGAAAATTTACACATAATCTTTTTGATAAGTTTACTAAAACAAATTTAATAATATATGATTGGTTAAAAGTAAAAAAGACAACTACATATTGGCAGGACTGCACACATAACTTTTATATTTGCTTCCTATTTTGTCAGACCCGGATGACCTAGTCAACCGCTTCTAAAATGCTAGACTGCACTGTATCTTATAAACCGATCCTAGAATTTGCTTTTTGGGGATGGTTGACATAAATAAACCGCCCTCCAGAAACCTATATTTTTTATGGTGGGTTATCATATCACTCACCCCTGAAAACGAGGGTTTTTCTAGGGCCACCCTTAATAATTGACTTTTAGGAGTGGTTCACTAAGATGCACTTGTGCTGCAATAGCACATCATGCGATTGAAAAAAAATCTATTTGTTCTGATGCCGTTTATAATTTTATGTGTTTTTAAAAATATGAAACGGTTGTTGACTAAGTCAAATGTCCCTTAGAAACGGTTTTTATGGACGGTTGACTTAATTAAACCACCCGTAAGCTATGTCTCTCTGGTATCCTATATCGTCTAAGTATTTTCGTAGGAAACTTGGTCGCAGGAGTGGATATTTCTCGTTAAGCATACATGTATGCTGAGCCATGCATGGGCCACCTTTTATAAACAACCATACACTAGTACTTCAGGGATTTTTGCTCACGGTCAAAAATGATCTTCAGGGTCAGTTTAAAAAACCGCTACTATACCATCGATCGTAAAAAAAAAAGTGATCTTCAGGGATGGTTTTAAAATCGTTCCTAGAAATCAATTTTCAGTATTGGTTGACTTAGGTCAACCATCCCTATAAATAATTCAAACCCACAACCTCTCGCCTCGTGTGTTCCATCCTCTGCCACTGCACCACACAGCCTCTTATGACTAGTTATATGATGCTATCTATTTATACTAATATATACGAATCTTCTCATCAATATTTTGACTTGTAAACAATTTTAAATTAGAAAACTTTCAACCACAAAGTTTTAGATCTCATTGAGCACTACAACTTTGATATTGGACATTTCTCCATCCAATGTCATTTGAAAAATTCAAAAAATTAAAATTTAAAATCTGAGAACTTAATATATATATTTGGGCCCTTAAATGATCTCGAATAAAAATGTCATCATCTACGAAGTTTTAGATCGCGTCGAGCTCTATAAGTTTGATATTAAATTTATTTTCATCCGACTTCATTTAAAAAAGTTATTAATTTATTTGTGCTCTATCTATTTTAAGGGCGAGTCAACTGCCTTTGAAAACCGATTTCTAGGAACGGTTGACTTCACCTATTCTCAGAAATGGTTGGCATAAGCAACTGTCCCTTAAAATCATTTTTTTTTCAGAAACGGTTCTCTTAAACAAACTGTGATATATTTTCAGTGACAGTTTAGTTACTAGAACCGTCTCTAAAAATGTATTTTTAGGGGCGGTTTTTTAAGCTATAGTGCTCACTGAGATAGGTACAAACGGTTTGCTAAGTAGACCGTTCTTAAAAGAAATATGAGGTGTCCCAAAAATTATTTGTGGGACGGATTCTGTATCTGAATATACCAGCAATTTAAAAAGCCGTGTATATATACTGGCGCTACAGTAGTTAACGTCAGATGTCCCTACAACACAGTTATACTAACAAAGTAGCGGCTGACCCGAGCTCTCGGCTAAACAAGCCGCTACAACACAGTTTCTTTATGGTGCTAAAACACAGTTTTAAAACACTGACAAGCACCACTTTTACTCCAAGCATGCATGGCGAATTGAACCATGTGTGCTGCAACTGCAATTCACGAGGCAGCATGCACTCCCATAAAACGATGAGCACAGGATTTGGAGTGGAGGAAAAGGCATATCATATATATACAGTATTGGACAGTATATATATATACCTCAATGGTCGCGAGAGGGGCCTTGTTGAGCCGCCTGAGGAGGCTTCGAACCTGTCGCCGGCGCTGTGCCGACAACGTCCCAGCAGTTCTCGCCGCCGCTGCACCGTCCAAGAAGAAGAGAAACGCTAGAGCCACGACGAGCGCGACCAAGCACGCTCGCGTAGCTGGTGCCATCGAGCAGCGGCTGCGGCAGCTGGCGGTTCTTGTAGCAGCTTCCGTGGTTTGCCTGGGTGACGAGATGGGTGTGAAGACGGTCTATGCTGTTTTATAAGGCTAGCTTTGGACGGGGCAAGACATAGACGACGTCGTTTGAGGGCGCAGGATATTTGGATGGACGTCTTTTTTTTTTTAGAATTCGATGGACGCCTTTTTTGTTGCACGCCTTGTAAAACTTCCTCTTTTTTTTTTTTTTTGCGAGAACTGTAAAACTTCCGCTGACTCCTTGTTAGAGTTAGCTGACCATTCTTCAACACGTACGCGCCAATTGTTGCACGTTCACAACCTTTCCTTCCCTTTCAGGTCCTCGTCCTAAAGGTTCTTTAATTTTTTTCCTCGATCGTGAAAGCAGGACCGTGGAAAAAGTAGCAGCTAAAATAAAATACTAGCTATATAAGTATCATGTACCCCAAACGATTATCTCGTATCGTAGAAGAAAAAATATCTACGATCGACTATCTCGTAGTAGTAGAAAAGAATATCAAAGAACCGTGAGGGAAAAAATATCTACCATCGACTATCTCGTAGTACATGATATTTATATAAATAAAATACTTGAACGTAGATATTTTGTTTTTAGAAAAAAATATCTAACACAAGTTGTGGAAGTTCCGTGGAGAACGGACTCCGCACGTACGTCGTATGGATCGAATGGAGGGAGCTTCCTCCGAACTCTTCAAATGCAAAGGTATTATTGCCATGAGCTGGCATGCTCAAAGCAACCAATCCTCGTGGTCATTGGTGCACTTCAAAAGGGTCCAAAATCAAATTAAAGTCGATCAGTGCGTCTGTCTCCCATAATAGTATCTGCAAAAAAAAATTGTTTTGCCTTTGTTAAACACAAAATCATTTCTTCAGATTCAAATTGCCAAACAAAAAGTTAATAACAAAGACTATTGATCCTAGCCCCTTGCTTTGACCAAGAGTGAAATAAATAATTTGAACTGTGCAGTCTGAATGCATAATAGAAAAGGTGTTGGATACATAGTTTTTGATTTGCTAAAAAAGAGAGCACATTTTAATACCTTTTAATTTCCTCAAGCTAAATTATCATTGGTAAGGATGATCCTTCCAAATCTCGTGTATAACCTTAACTTGGTTATTATTTACCATGAAAATGCCATGTCTACCTATTCTTCACACGGAAGAGAGATCCAAACCCTCGTTTCTTTCCGACAAATTGCATTGCCATGCCGGACATCATCGACTGAACATGCTTGAGATCGCCTCTTGCAACAAGGAGCCGTCATCAGGACCGTGTGGAAAATTTGGTCAGTTTCATTCACAACTATAGTCCATATCGGCTGGGCGGAACGGAGTAGCCGGATGATGTGACGTTCGATCATGGTCATATATATCTGGAATACGTCACGAGTGCACAAGTTGTTGCCGCGTTTGGCAAGGCAACAATGTATTTGAGTCCAACAATACAAATTATAATGACGTTGAATAATTAATCTTGGTCTGGCGTGCGTAAAGTTGTGGAGAGAGACTTACCAGGTCCAAGTCTTCGAGGAAATAAAGCACGCAGTTTCGTATTTTCCCATGTTGAAATGGACGTGCAGCTCACTAGCAGCTACTTGTTCCTTATTTGGCTGTATGTAAATATATATACAAGTAACCATCATGCATTAAGTACGCTGGACATATACGAATTCGTTGTGCATGTAGGCTGCAGTCGTGGATCAAAAGCAAACTTGGGATGAGGAATTTGGGCCCGTCAATGTTCTTATCTGAAAAAATGTCTACGATCGACTATCTCATAGTAGTAGAATAGAATATCAAAGAACCGTGAGGGAAAAAATATCTACCATCGACTATCTCGTAGTACATGATATTTATATAAATAAAATACTTGAACGTAGATATTTTGTTTTTAGAAAAAAATATCTACATTCACAAGCTGTGGATGTTCCGTGGAGAACGGACTTCGCACGTACCTATGGATCGAATGGAGGGAGCTTCCTCCGAACTCTTCGAATGCAAAGGTATTATTGCCATGAGCTGGCATGCTCAAAGCAACCAATCCTCGTGGTCATTGGTGCACTTCAAA